ACCGCCGTATTCAGAGAGCCGCTCTCACCACCACGCCGATGATGAAGAGGAGTATCGACGCCAGCTGGCAGACCAAACCCGCAGAGGCTACTACAGTGCCCAGAAATACAACGACACTGAACTCTAACACCCAATCTCCCAAAAACTATCAGAGCAGAAGTAGCCGAGTCTCTTCACTGCGTCCGTCTGTGTTGGGATGTTTCCTGTGCATGTCGTTATAAAGCAAATGAATGTGCTTCTAGTTGTTGTGTGAGTAAGAGGGACTGACATGAACCACAGATAAAGCACAAGAGATAGTGTTAGCCACAAACACGCATGCAGTATATACATGCCATTTATAAAACAGCATCTTTTTATACCTGCAATGTTTTTATATGAAATTTCAGTGTATATTTCATGTCTGCCTGTAGTGTTTTTTTTCTCCCACAATGCTTCTAGATGGAGTTAACGTTACACTTTCCTCATTTACACTGCTGAAGTTTGCCATGTTATTTTCCAAAACATTTGCTGGAGTGCCTTAATGTCATTGATCAAACATGTATTAACCATATATTACTATGCTCTAATTATGTTAAAAACTGGCTTCACATCAGTTTTTATATCGATTCTCTGAGAATATAAGAAGATCATGTGTAATGTTCACACTATTGGTGTGTGTCTGTGATCAGTGCTTTGGGTTTAACCACTAATAAAACAGAGTTGTGGGATTTTTTTAAAGACAAATCAATAAACCTGACTTTTGATGTTACTTTTGCTTGTCGTTATTCATGCTTGTCTCACTATTTCTATCAATAACCCAAACCATATCTAGAGCAGAAATTAACCGATTCTGATAGATTTTTACTGTTATTATTATGAATTGTGCTTTTATATTTATCTACAAAAGTTCTGCAATCTAAATGGTTGCAAATGTACATTGCTGTCTACAGAAATGAATGCGTTTACTCGGCATGGATGCATTAAATTGATCAAATATAAAACACATTGGTACAAAAAATTTTTTTTTAAATAAGTATCACCGTTTCCACAGAAATATAAAGCAGCACAATTGTTTTCAACACTGATGATCAGAAACGTTTTTTTGATCAGCATATTAGAATGATTTCTGAAGGATCATGTGACACTG